AGGGTCTGCCATGGGGAGCTCTGGGATTGATTGGCAATGTCTGCCTCACACTGGCTGGAGTTTCCTGGCACACGGTCGTCAGGCCACCGGCCCAGCCCTGGGGAGACACTGTTTCTCAGGGGACCACTGTCGGGGGGTGGAACAGACGGCAATGCCATGGACTGGGCTGGGAAGACAGGATGGCCGGGGGAGGCGGGCGCCCTCCCAGCTGGGAGGAGCACAGCTGGCCATACCTGGATTTCGCCTTCACCTTCAGACTGAGTGCATCTAGGGCCTGAAGCCCTGGCTTGGGGTGCTTTCCATGGCGGCCCAGGACACTAACACACATTCACACACCAGCAAACCTCCCTGTCTGCCCCAGCAGAGTCCCCTGGCCATGGAGGCACCGCAGGGCCAAGTGGGTGTGCACTGGGCTCAGGTCCCTGGGGTGAAGGCCGGCCCCCACCTTCCCTGCAGGGATCTGTCAGCTTCCGGGCAGCACACCCAGGACGGGGGTGCTTCTGAAACCCCCCACCCCACCCAAACCTCCCCCTGGCTTGAGAACTACCCGCCGGGCTCAGCTCCCTCTGCAGGCTGTGCCACACGCCGAAGAGGGGCCAGGACTCTCCGGTGTTTTAACAATAGGCCTTCAGCTGGGTGAGGTAGTACCTGCCAAATTCTAGCACTGTGGGGGACGGAGGGAGGACCGACAGTTCAAGGCCCGCCTATGTAACTGATTTAGCCAGACCTTGTTTCACAAAGGGGGAGAGGCCTAGGGGTGTAGGTCAGTGAAAAGGCCCTGGGTTCAATCTCCACTATTTCAATCAATCAATCAATCAGCCATCTGCTCGTGTCCTAAACCCTGAGGGCAGACATGCCCCGCGTTACCCCAAGAAGTCCGGGTTGGAGCAAGAGGTGAGGGCGACATGGGCTCCAGCTCAGTAACAGACAAGGCAGTGGGCATGATGTCACGTAAGTGACTGCGGCCCCAGCCCTGGGCAGCTCAGTGAGCCTCTGAAGTACCCTCACTGTGGTGCCTGGCAGCTTCCTGCTGCATGGATGCTGCATCCACCGCATGGCCTCCTACTCTGCCCCTGGGGCTGTGTCCATGCTTTCACTCGTGGAGTCCTCCCATGCCAACGCAGGCACGAGCCCGGGCTCCCCACAGCCTGCCCAGCACTGTCCTGGGAGCTGGGTCCTCAGGCGCCCTGCCCCTCTGGAGCAGCATGGTCTGCTAAGCCCCACCTCCGGATGAGGAGGCTCAGAGAGGCCACGAGTTGCCCTGGGCCAGGACAGAGCCGGATGCAGTCAGTCCCAGAGCTTCCTGAACCGACCGACTGGGGGCTGTCTGGGGGGTGGCAAGGGGCCGAGTGACCTTGAGACCCCTGGGAGGATGGTGGCCACAAAACGACAGTGGATGGGGAAGGGCACCCACTCAGCATCTGCCCCCACCAAGAGATACCGGTGCCACCAGGGCCCACGGGTGGGGAGGAGGCATGTGCCCGGGGGGCTCATGGGCAGCCATCAGCCCCGACAGAGCAGGAGGCTGAATGGTTGCGGGTGGCAGGGGTCAGGTGAGGAGGAGCCTGGGGATGTGGCAGGGCCGCCCCCCAAGACCAGAGCAGGTTCTGTAAGAAGAAAAAACGCAGGACTGAGCCCAGGGCCTGCCCCACAGGGCGCTGCGGGTGGGCGTGGGCATAGTGCTCATCACAATCTGCTCCCGCAGACCCCGGGTCCTGAACAGTGAGGGCCGGAGTGGGCGTCACAGCCAAGCAGGCCAAGCCCCGTGGGGACCAGATGGCACCTGTCAGGCCCTGGGCGGCCACGAAGCCTCACCAGGGCTGGAATGCTGGCATGGGGAGAGAAGGCCCAGGAGAGTGGAGTCCAGCCCACTCCCGAGCCCACAGAGAAACCGAGGCCAGGGGAGGACAGGGCTCCGGGCTACTCAGCTCGAAGGCTGGGAGCTCTGCACAGGTGGATGCGTGTGGCGGGTCCCATGGGAACAGAGGCGGGGACAGAGCCGCAGAGGCCCGGCAGGGCGATGGGGCCTGCGGGAGGACGCCTGAGAGCAGGCCAGGGCTTCAGCGCTATCAGTGGTCTGTCATGGAGTCTTCTTTTTGAGGTTTCTTTTATGATCCTTTAAAGACGTGACGCTGTTCTCAACTGGCAGGGCTTGCGCAGTGACCTGGGGTCCTGATGACCCCTGGCCCACTGTCCAGCCCCCTCCTGAGGAGCACAGGACGGGGATGCCCAGCAGGGTGTGGGGGACCTTGCTGAGGACCCTACTGCCCACTGGACACACAGGACACAGGAGCCGGGGCTACCCTCCACACATCCCCCACCCCGGGGTCTTGTCGGATCCCTGCCCAGGCCTGCCCCAACCACAAGGCCCCAGGCAGGGCCGGGGCAGGAGGCTGTGCACCGTGGCAAACACGAGCCCTTCGTGACCTGGACTCAGCTGCAGGACCTGCATTACCACCTCCCTGTTGGGGAGCCCAGGGCAGGGGAGCCAGCACCCAGCTCCAGGCAAGGCTGGCAGAGAGGGCAGCTATGAGCCCTGCCGTGGGGCCCGGGCCTGGCAGCAGCCACCTGTGTTCCTCAGGCCCTGATCTCTGGAAGTCCCCACATTGCTGCCGAGGGCACCCTCTCTGGCCTGAGAGTGGATGGCCATGCAAGCCCGTGGCCCCGGGCACAGCACGGAGCAGAGCAGGGTGCCCCAGCCACCTCAGCCCCGTGCCCCAGTCCTCAGTAGCAGGGGGAGCCAGGAGACCCAGGGAAAGAGTCAGCTGAAAAAGCACCATAAAGCAGGATTTCACTTCTGTTTTTTGCACCATGAACAGAGGAAAGAATGGTGAGCCCAAGGCTTAGGAGGTTAATGCATTTAAGGAGGAAAATATTTTCTTCCCAATACACTTAGACGGAGGCAGTGGAGGGCGCGGGCCTGTCAGTCTGGCCCCATCGGGGCTGAGTCTGGGCCACACGCCAGGCCTTCGCAGCACCGGCCGCCTCCCCCCACGCCATCCCCCAACTTCCTTCCACATCCCTTGTCCTCCGGATGCGTAGCTCCGTGGTGGGGCAGGACAACCAGGTGGTGGGGGGCACTCTCATGGCCCTCTGGGAAGAGCATTCGGTGCTCCGGGTAGATGAGGCTGTCTGTCCCACAGGCTCAGAGACGGGCTCAGAATCCCTGGGGCGCTCAGCAAGGAGTCAGGCCTGGGACAGAAGCTTCAGTCTCCTTTGAGCTGGAGAGACCCCAGGGCCAAATGTCCTGCCAGAGCCCTCAATGCCACTGTTACAGCTAGTGTCTAGATGTCCCCCGAAGCCTCATGTGCTCACAGCTGGGGCTTTTGTAGGTGGCTGGATCTAGGGCAGTGATGGTGAACCTTTTAGAGACCACTCCCCAAGCTGCAGCACAAAACCCACTTACTTATTACAGTGCCAACACTGCAATTAAACCTGGAAACTGAAGTTTTAGTCTAGAAAAAACAATTCATACATTAACATCTTTTGTCTTCAAAAGCACAGTGATGGAGCTTTCAGTGATACAAACAGCCTGCTGTGGCACACATGCCATAGCTTTGCCACCACTGATCGAGGGTGTAAGATACTGAATTATGGATGTGTGATAACTAAAACCATTGATTGGTTTAGCATAGTTCTGGATGTGGATAATGGGAAGCCCCTCCCTGGGTGTGGGTGGCCTCAACAAATAGGCTTGGAGCCTGAATGGAAGAAAAGGGAAAGGAAGGCTCATTTCTTCCTGCCTACCCTGCCAAGGACTGTTTCTCCCCTGCCAGCCCCTCTGCCATGCTGCCCCACCTTGGAGCCAGCCAACTATGGACTGAAACCTCTACAGATTCTGAACTGAAATAAACATTTCCTCCTTTAATTTGTGAGTATTTTGTCCCAGCAACAAGGAAGTAACTGGGCCGGGGATGTAGCTCAGTGGCACAGTGCCTGCTTAGCAAGTGCAAGGTCCTGAGTTCAGTCCCCAGTACCACAAAAACAAACCAACAAACAAGGAAGTAACTAAGACAGCCTCACAGTACCCTCCATGCTGCCCAAGGCAGACATCATTAATCCATCAGCTCCCGCCACTGGACCTGGACAGAGCCTCGGGTCCTCTCATCCCCGCCATCCAGCAGCCAGCACAGTGGGAATTGGCTCCAGACGGGGCTGTTCTCCTCCATGGGCCTCCATGAGGACACCTCTGCGATGGTCCTGCACCACTACTGATCCAAGAGAAGACACAGGATGCCAGCAATGGGGCCGCTGATGGGGCTATGTGGGAGCCCTCATGCCATCTCTGCCACTTTTCTGTAAATGGGGCCCTGCTCTGAAGTCAAGAGTTTAAGAGCCACAGGGCTTGGTAGTGTCCCCTCCACCTGGGGCCCACACTGCACTCACTGCCTGTCATCCGTCCCTCAGGTTCCAGGTCCACAGTCACAGTACCTTGGGCTGTGTCCACTGACCCTCACCTCACCGCAGAGCCCCAAGGTGCAAGAGCAGTGATCCCAGTGATCAGATTTGCCGCAGGGAAACCAGAACTTGCTGCCTTTCAGTGAAGAGGCAATATTTCTCAACTTGTAGGGAAAGAACAAAGTTGAATGCCAAGGTCCTTAAGATCTGGGGTCAGAACAAACCCCCCGGAAAAGTGAAGGAGGAGGAAGGAGTCTGTGCTCCATCTGCTGTCGCATCTCAAACTGTCACAGCTTCAGCCACAGCGCCAGGGAAGGGCTGTTACCACGGAAAGGCATTAAGTGTGTGCAGCTATCGGAGCAAACAGCACTACAGTTTCGGCACTGCACACTCAGGCCTGCCGGTGGGCGGGAGGACACAGAAGGCCTCCGCAGAGTCCACCTGCCCTCTCCTCCCCAGCCCCTCCTTCCTTCCTCCAACTTTACGGACCTCCTCAGTCAACCACCCACCTCATTTAGTGCATTGGTCACTCAGTGAGGACTTGTATGAAGCGCGTACATTACAATACTGAGAACAAAGAAATGCTCAAAGGAAACTGCAGCTGGATGACTTTGCTTTTATTTGCATAACTCTTAGATGTAGTACTGTAACAAACAACAGAACATAGAACTACAGTACTGTGCGCTGTGCAGTACAATCAGCAAAAATCACAGTAACATACAAACAAGGCGAACTGTACAAAGAAACACACTGAGGCTCTGTAAACAAGATGTATAGAACAGTACCAAAAAAAAAAAAGGATGAGAAGTCCAAACAGTCGTTAAACAAGTAGATTGTTAAAGGAGGAAAGTCCGTACTGGAGTTTGAGCTGCATTAGTCAGCTACTGCTTTGTAATAAGTAGCCACCTGGCTCAGGCTACACGGGGATAAATGTGTTTCTCGCCCTGCTGAGCTGGACTGGGTCCGCTCTGGTCCATGCTCAGCTGAGCCGGCTGCAGGCCTTGGGCTCACACCAGTGGCTCACACCTGTGGGATCACACCATGGGCTCACACCAGCTGTGTCCCACTGACTCTCGGGCCTGGTCCCAAAGCTGCCCGGGGCCTGCTCCTCTCCTGGAGGATTCAGGGGAAGACAGCTGCCAAGTGTTCTGCTCAGGCTCAGGTGGTCCGGGGCCCCAGGCACCTGGGTGGGATGGGTGGGGCTGAGAGAGGGAACAACTGCGGCCCAGGGCCATTTGCGTGTGACATGGGCCCATCACGGCCCTCCCAGCCTCAGGCCCCACCTGGAGCTGAGTTCCAGGCAGGCTGCTCCTGCCACCTGGGCCCAATCAAGGCATTTCCATGCTCCATGCAATGCTCAGGGAACGTGCCAGACCCCGCCACCGCACAGCCTCTTCCCTCTCCCGCACGCTGGCCAGCAAGGTCCTGGGCGGTAGATGTGGCTGGCCTCTCAGAGGACACCCCGCCCGCAGACCGCCCAGGTGACCCACGACACCTCCCCTGTCCTGGCCCTTGTTCCTGCCCGCCCATTCACCCTGTCCCGCTGTGCCCGCTCCCATATCCTCTAGCGACCTGGCCGAGGCCCTGGAGGCTGCACAGGAAAATGGCGCATCTGTTCCCATTATTCTTGGCCCAGGCTGCAGCATGAGGGGCGGGGTTTTGGAGCAGCTTCCTGAAAGCACTCGCTCGGATTTCTGGCTAAAGTGCTGAACTTAGCAGCCGAGAACATTAAAGAAGAATTTTTATTCCGTTTCTACTCTTTCTTCAGCGGTGCCTGGCAGACGTCTCTGGGGACAGGAGTTCCTGGCTCCACCGCAGCCCTGTGCTCTGGCTTCCTTAGGGAAGGGGACGCCTGCCGAGGGGCTGGGCCAGGGCAGCGCCAGCCTCTGGGGCAAGTTTCAGGGGCCGGGAGGGGAGGGACCCTCGTGCCCATGGCCTCTAGAGCACAGGCACCTCTCGGGTCAGAGCCCTCTCGGTGGCTGCCCGGCTCACAGTCCTTTGAGCCCAGAACGGGCTGTGCCCCTGCTGCAGAAGAAAGGGCAAGGTGGGCAGCCAACACCATGCATGCCGCCACCACCACAGCTCCAGACCAGGACTTGCCTGGTCCCCAGAACCACAGCCTGCCCTGCGGGAGTTCACGGGGCAGCAAGCAGGAGAAAGGAGCCCCCGTAAGGCCCTCGGGCTGGACAGGGCACAGGCCCTTCCAGTGCCCCGCTGGGCGACACGGGCCTGTCTGCACTCTGCACCCTGCCAGCAGTCCTCCCTGCCGTCCACCCTTCCCGTTGCCAGCTGGACAGCCTGCAGGAGCCAGGCAGGCCGGAAGCATGACCGCGGTGCCCCTGAGTGTTTCTGCGTCCCAGGGAAGCTGAGCACGTCTTCCTGTCCCCCATCTCTGTGCGCTTCCTCGGGCTGCCCGGACAAAGGGACTCAGAGCGGCAGGAATGTGTTTTCTCCCCATCTGCAGGCAGAAGTCCAGCTGAGCTGTGGGCAGGGCTAACCCCTGGGCTGCCTGCCCACCTCCCGGGACCCCAGCACCTCAGGGATCCCAGGTGGGGCAGCCATCAGGGCCTCGTGATGGTGCAGTTTGGGGTCCAGGACCTGGCGTGGATCCGGGGAACCTCCCTAGGCTGTGCCACCCCCCGGGACCCCAGCTCTCCTGCCACTGCCTGGGGAAGGTCACATCAGGCCCCAGCGGCCCCAGCATCGCCACATGTGCATGTGTGTTTCACATGTGTCCAACACCAGCATGATCATGTGTGTTTTGTGTGTGTACAAAGGTCTCTGTCCTAGCCCCAGGACCCTGCCAAGCCAGAGAACAGCCCAGGGTGTCAGCCCCCACCCCAGGCACGGGGCCCAGGCAAGCACAGCCTCTGATCCATTTCCATTGCTTCACTTGGAAAGGTCTGCAGACCACACCACTGTGCCAGGAGGCCGAGGGTCCCAGCCATGTGGAAAAAGGGCGTGAGCAGCTACACATCCCGCGCTGGCCAGGAGCTCGGGCCCAGAGACCCGGAGCCAGCAAGCAGCACCCGCCACCGACAGAGATGGGACAAGGCCAGACGACGGTGGACAGATGGGGCTGTGCAGAGGCCACGGCCGAGCTCCCCACGCAGCAGCTGACAGCCCACACACGTGTGCACAGTACACACAGAGCAGGTGTGCACCACGCGTGGCAACACCACACCTCACACATGCACACACATATGCACCCTGCCTACGTGCACACCTACACAGTGCACTCCACACCTGCTACACATACACACACACGTGCTGCACACATCGCACAGTACACACCACACACACCCCTTGAGGGGACCCCAGTGTGGCCTGAGGTCAGCAGGTGAGCTCTGCACAGCCTCGGGGGGCAAACTCCACATGTGAATGTCCCCTCCACCCGCACCCAGAGCTGCCCAAGTTTCCACAGGTGAAGGAGGCGCAGCTCCCCCACACCTGGCCTCAGAGATGCCACGGCTGATGGTGGCCTCCCACCTGGACCCTCCTGCCACGACCCCTCTCCCACCCTGTTGCCCCCTGACACTGCCCTGTGGCACGATCTGTACAGCTCCAGCCATGCAAGGACCTGGACAGGGCCCGATCTCAGCCCCATACAGGCCATGTCCCAAATCAGGGCCTGGGTGCTACCTGGCAATGCCTGCCGCCCTCAGCCAGGCCTGGGAAGACCAGGCACTCCTCCCTGATGGCTACGGGTGCCTGAGAGGGTCACCTTTCCACCATGGGCCTCAGTTTCCCCGTCCATGAGGCCGCCAGGACCTAACAAGCGGGGAGGCTGGGCAGCCTGTGGTCAGTAGAATGACGGCCCCACAGACACCTGCGCCCTCATCCCAGGAGCAGCGGCTCTGTCTGCATCCATGCAAAGGCATGGATCATGAGGTGGGGACCATCCAGGCACGCACAGTCCTCACCAAGGTCCTCCACGCCGAGAGGACCCCTGGATCCACGGGAGGTGCAGGGACACGTGGCATCCCAGGCGCTGGGCACAGGCTCTGAAGATGGAGGGCGCAGCCTAGGGTTGCGGCAGCTGCTGGAAGCCAGAAAGGGCCCAGAGCCTCAGAGGAACCAGCCTGCTTCAGCTTGCATGGCAACAGGCCCTGAGTGACCGGGACTACCTGGAGCCAGGACAGCGGCCTGTGTGCGAGTCCATGTGGGAGCAACTCGCTGCGCCCTGGCCCCTCACACACCTGGCACAGCTGTGACCTTGGGCCGGCATCATGACCTTGCCCGGCGTGGCTTCTAGATGTCATCAGCAGATGAGGGTCGGGGGTTCTGTGAGGCCAGGAGCTCAGGGGAGGGGTGACCAGTGTGGAAGGCCTGTTGCCACCTCTGTCCTCGGCCCACATGGCCATCAGGTGGGGTCCACTGCCAGCCTCAGGTTGCAGCATCCCCAGCCACCCGGGAAAGGGGACGCTGCATGCAGGAACTTTCTGAGACCTCTCTCTGCCCTCCGGCTCCACTTGGCTCCTCTTGGACCCTTGCAGTGTTGTTGACAAAATTCAGATCACAACAGCAGCCTCAGAAAGGCCTCAAACCCAGGAGCTGGAGACAGGCTAGAGTCGGGCCAGAGGGGCCTGTGATGTCCTGGCTTTTCCCGGGAAGGGTCAGAGGTGGCAGCGACACCAAGTCACCATATACGAGGCCAGCATCTGTCCCCTCTCCCCTGTCACAGACAGCCACAGTGGGTTTCAGAATCAGGTCATCTGATGAACCATGGATCTACACCGAGTGTGCATCTGGTGGCTCAGTGTGTGACAACAGAGCTTTGTTCCATGGAGCGCTGGCCACGCTGTGACACAGTGGGCCTGGAGGACCCAGAGCAGATGAGAGAAGCCACGTGTTCTGCAATGCGTCTCCAGGACAGGCGGCTCCAGAGCTGGGGCAGAAGGGCGGTTGCAGGGTCAGGGACAAGCGAGGAGTGGCCACTGAATGGGCACAGCCTTCCATTCTGGGTGATTGAAGAAAACCCCGTGGCCACGTGGAGGCAGCGGCTGCGTGGCTCTGCGCGTGTGTCTCACAGATGGGGCTCACACTGACCTTAGGAGCAACCACACGAAATAGTTTTAGTGCAGGAGGCTGCAGCTGGGACCATGGGAAGGAGGCGCACAGGCCTGACACCCGTGCCACACGAGGTGCACAAACTCCAGCGGTGGCATGCACCACAGGGTGGACCAGCGCCGCAGCTTGCTGCTCACCTAGTGGCCAGGCTGCGCGTGAGCTCCTTGCACACTGGCCTCAGTTTCCCTGAGTGCAGAGGTGAGGAGCACAGGACTGACTTCACAGTCATGGAGAGACGGACAAGGGCCCCCAGGCTCGCAGCAGCCCCCAGACCTTCTCCACTCCGGCCCCCAGGGCCCAGGGCCCCCAGTGAGACAGCTCCTGAGCTCTTGTCCACCGAAGGCTGCGAGCCAAGACACAGGGAGGACACCCACACAGATACAGACGGGCCAACGTGGGCCCGCGGCTGCCACAGCCCCACAGCTCCCTGAGTCCAGGCTGGCGCGATGGGGCTGGAGCAGAGACGCAGCGGGCAGGCTTGGCTCCCTGTCTCACCGCCCGCAGCCTCCGGAGCCCTGGCTCTAGAGAGTGTGTCCTGACCTGGGAAACAGGAAGCGATGGGTGCCTCAGACCCCGGCCCAGCACAGCCCCTGCCACTGACCCCAAGTGTGGCATCGCCCCCTGTGGCCGGGTGGGCTGCTGAGGATGGGGGCCCAGGACTCAGGGCATTGCTCAGGGCAGCCGGGTCACAACCCCGGGCAGGAGTGTCAGGAGTGGATGGCGTCCCCAGACCCTGGGGGAAGCCAGGGATCCAGCTGCAAACTCGCACTCTGACCCCACCAGGTGGCTCCCAGAGCTGCCTCGATGATCAGTGCATCTGGCTGACCCAGGGCCACAGGGACAGCACAGCACCCAGACTGTGGGTCCCGCACTGAAGGGGAAGAGCCGAGGCGCGCAGGGTCTCAAAGCGTGGTCCCATGCTCATCCTCCCCCGGCTACAAGTCAGCCCGGGCCCCCAGTCCTCCTTGTGTCCTGTGTGTCCCCACAAAGCCAGCCCAACCACTCCCCAGCCCAGCGCTGTGCCGGGCGGGAGCTCTGAGGACTCACCCCACCCCGGGGGAGCCGCAGATCAGAGGTCAGATCCCAGCCCTGTCTCCCTGCGCCACCCTGTACCCTGGGGGCTTCTCCCCTGGAGACGAGCAGCTGCACCCCACCCATGGGATGTGGAAGGTGCGGGCGGGACCCAGAGGCTCAGCCTGGTCCGGGAGGGGCTGCTTCTCCTAAAGCATGAGCACGGGTCCCAGTGCACACCTGTGTATGTCCAGCTCCCGGAGATGGGCAGGAGGCACAGAGGGAGGCGGACAGGGTGGGTCCCAGCTCTCCTGCTGAGAGCTGCACAACCCAGAGGAGCTTCTGCAGAAGCGTCTGGAACCCCCGTGTGCTGTGCTGCCAGGAGGGGGCGTGGCTGTTCTCAGTGCCCCACTCGGCTCCAGCCTCTGCACCGCCCCGGCTGCTCCGGCCGGGGTGGCCCGGGTGTGAGGGCATCCGGGTCACCATGACCTGGCTCTCCTGCCCCTGCTCGCCGACCAAAATGCCTGGCTGTGCCTTGGGGAAGGGTGACCCGGTGCAGGTTTCGAGGTCCAAACGTTACAGAGCTTTGACCCCACCAGGGTTAGGGCCAGCTGTCACCACCCTGAGCCCAGCCCCCCCCCCCCGCACTGTGCAGACGCGTTTCATCCCCACCCCAGGGGGACGTCCAGTCCCTGACCGGAAACCCTGGGCTGAGCCTGCAAAGCAGGAGAAGTGCACCCAGGCTCAGGTCCACACCCGAGGCCTCTGTGAACCTGACTGTGACATTACCACTGGGCCCAGAGAAGCAAGGTGACTTGCCCAAGGTCACACAGCAATGGCTAGCCTCAATCCCCCCACACACAACTTGGCTGCCTCCCCAGAAGTGGGAGCGGGAGGCAGAGCCCTGTCCCCCACCCGCCAACGACTCCCCGGGAAGGAGCAAGGAGCTACCTTCCGCTGCAGGTCTTCGGTCTCTGTGCTCATTTTCGGGCTTGGCTGGGACCCTGTGCGTCCAGGCAGGTAGGCCAGGTCTGTTCGCAGGTGGGGAGGGGCCAGTGGAGTCCCCTGCGGGTCACTGCCACCCTCCCTGCTCTAGAGCCCTGGATGCAGCCGCCCCGCCCGGCAGACCTGGTTTCAGACCTCCTGAAGGAGGCGGAGGAGCACAGTGCCAAGGCCACACCTGGGCCACGCCCACCACATCCCCAGGCTACTCCCAGCCAATGACAAGGCTCTCTGGGGAAGGAGGCCACGCCCTCCTGCAGAGGGGCTCCGCCTCCCCCACGGGCGGCCACCGGACCGTTTTGAGGTCCTCCTCCCTCCTCCTGGGCGTGGGGTGGGGCTGTGACTGTCCAGAAAGGCCTAGCTGGCGGCTCAGGTCCCTCCGCGAGCACGGCTATGGCAGAGGACAGCGGTGGGTCAGTTCTGTGTAATATAAGCGGCAGATTCTTCTCTGCTCTCCAATTATGCAGAGGCCAGTCCTAAAATAATATTGAGTTTCCTCTCCCATAATTTGGAGGGAGGACGCGCGCCAGGGATCCAGCTGGAGGGACGCTTCCATCTGCGGGCACACGGGGCTGCTGCGACTCCTGGCGTGGGGATAGAATGGCAGTCTTTTTACCCCGGAGCCACGTTGGCCTGGTCCGGCTCCTTGCTCACCAGCATGGAGGCCACTCGGGGTGCTCCGGTTCCATCTTTTAATAAATACATCTATTTGAAATTAGTCCATTCATTGCACTGTACAGGATTCCAGATCAGGCCACGAGCCCCCAGCCAGAGCCCACGACAGCTGGGCCACCAGCCGCGTCTCAGCCCATCAAGGTGCCCCCCGGGGCGCATGGTGCCTGTGTACAGCGGTGGTCACTTCGACCTGGGGCTCGGCACGGAGGATGCTCATACTACAGCCTTCTTTTCCCTAGTTGCTGTGCTGATTTCAAAAAGCCCTTACCTGTTTAACACGCACATCTGCTGAAGTCCCAAAGCTTATAAAGGGTGAAGGCTTATTCTGGCTCACAGTTTTGAAGAAGGCAGTCCATGGCCAGGTGGAACCATTGCTTTGGGGCTCTGGGGATGATGAGGGCATCTGTGATGGACTAAAACTGGTCACCTCATGGTGAGGAAGAGAGAGAGAGAGAGAGAGAGAGAGAGAGAAGGAAGAAGGGGCTGGGCTCCACTGTCATGGGCAAGGGCAGCCCCATGACCCCAGGCCTCCCATGAGGCCCCACATTGCTGAGCTGTGGGCCAAGCCTTTGACATGCGGCCCTTGGGGGACATCCTGATCCCAGCAGTGGCTGCAGACTCCCAACGTACAGTCAGCAAACAGACCTGTGGGGTGGGATGAGCACTCGGGGACAGACTCCCTCCCACATGGTCACTTGCTTCTCAGCAAAAGTGCCAAAGCACCCAGTGGAACAACTCTTCGACCAGTGGCACCGGCAACAGCATCACTGGTGTCCACACACCCCAGGGTAAATGCAGGCTGGACCACAGCCACGTGCTAGAAGAAATCAAGATAAAAATTGTCACCATTTAGGGACAAAGTCCCTTAGCACATAAAAAGAATAAGAAAAGTATTTATAAATTAGACTTCGGTACAGTAAAAAAGGGATGCTTCTGAAGTCATTTCGGTTGTTGTTTTGGTTTGGTTTGGCTTTTTGACCCAGGGTCTCACTATGCTTCTTTTTTTTTTTTTACCGGGGATCAAACTCGGGTCCTTGCGCTTGCGCAGCAGGCGATGAAACCACTGAACTAAATCCCCAGCCCAGGGTCTCACTATATAATTCAAGCTACCCTTGAATTCACTGTGTAGCCCAGGCTGGCCTCGAACTCAAAGTGATCCTCCTGCCTCAGCCTCCTGAGTGCTGAGATTACAGGCATGCACCACCACACCTGGCTCTGAAGTTGTTTTGACAAAGGGTGGGCATCCAGGGTGCACGAAGAACCACAGCAGATGTCTTTTGGGGAGGAAGAGGTTTGAACAAACAGTCATCACGCAGGAAAATACATGCACCCCAGTGAGAGCAGGACAAGAAGCCAGCGCCCCCACACCATGGGCCACACGAGGCTCTGTGCCTCGGTTTCCTACTTTCCCACCTCAGGCGACTCTGCCTGTTTTTGATGTTTTATAAACAGGACCTCACAGCATGTGCTTCTGGGCCACAGGCGGGACACAGATGGCCTGGTAAGGGGCCTGGGGACAGGCCCTTCTGCGTCGTGACAGGTTTGGTGTGTTTGTTGGTTCTTGTTGGTGGTGGCCGACAGAGGCTTCAGATTGGTGCACTTCATTCCACATGAAGAGAAACTCCAGAATCAAGACAGAAGTGGCCTCTCCTTGTTGGCCTCCACTTCACGGTGTACACGGTGAAGCATTTGGAGCCACGTGGACCGATGTCTGCCACACAGGGGCTGAGGACTCGTGGGCACCCATCCCAAGCTCCCCACCTGCCAGCGTTTCCGAGATCCAACACTGGGGAGGGAGCAAAAGAAACAAAGACCCTGAGCCACACAGTTGAAGAGGACACGGCCAGGTGTTTTGCCACGGAAGACTGGTGCCTAGGAAGTCCACAGGGAGCAAGAGAAAGATGGATGTCACCTTGGCTAGGTGGGCCCCGCGCCAGCCCCGGGTGAGCACTCAACATCACCAGACAGCAGCGCTGCCTGAATCAGAACAAGTGCGGCTCCTGCCACACAATCCAGGACGGAAAACGGAGAACTACAAAGCGAGGGGAGCACAGGCACACCAAGTGTGGGTGCACTCACGTGCCCTGTGGAGACAGCGGGCTCCCAGACATAGGGGACATCTGCATGAAAGCTCCGGAGGGCTGAGAGTCCGAGCACCCAGGGCTGCACTGCCAAGATGGCCTGGAGCAGGCAGCGCCCATGTCAGCCTCACGGAGTGGACAGAGACATGGTCCCTCCCACGGGCATCGCTGCACACTCCAAGACCAGGTGGGTCCCTGTCCTGGGCCACCCGCAGCAAAGGGCAGCTAGCAGGAGGCTTGGGGTGGAGCAGAGGATGCTGGACCTGGCAAGGCTGGCGTGGTGGGAAGGTTTGCTCTGCAAAGATCTGAGCTGTGAGTGATCTGGCAGCACAGGACACACACTCAGCCTGCCGTGATCCTGCTCGGCCCGGGCGGCCACCTGCTTGGGTGGACCCCATGAAGGCTTCTGCTGCTCCACTGGCCCCCACAGTGCCGCCTCTGTCCTTGCTGCCCCAGGCCACACACTGTGACAGGCAGGCAGTACCATGGGCACAGAGTGGCTGCTCGGGCAGCGAGGTAAGAGGTCCCTGCTAGGGCTAAACAGCACCAGGGACCTCGACCTGACCCGACTCGCTGTGCACAGGGGGACCACAGAACCCCCTCCTGGGCGTGCTTCAGTTTCCCTCTGGGCCCAGGAAAGTGTCCCGCAAGGTTCCGCCCTCCACAGCCCGTGGGGTGAGGGTAAACCTGAGGGGGAAGGTGCTGTGCTCCGCCCCATCCGCTCCAGTGGACTCCATGTCCTCATCGCCTGCCTCCCTCTGCCTCCTTGTCCACCCCTCGGCCTGAGTCACCACTTAATAACTAACACAGTTGGGAGACATTGAAAGCACGCTGCACATTTTTTCCGTGTGCAAAACGATGAATTAAATCATGATCTCTCACAAGCGCAGATGAGAAGCAAGAGAATTCAGCAGAGTTCAAAATACACTTGGCAGGCGGGCAGGCGGGCAGGCGGCCACTAACTCGGGCCACAGCCACGTGCGCCTCCGTGCAGACTCGACCACCATCCAGGCCGGCCTCCCGCTTTGCCCTGAGGATCGGTCCTCCTCAGTGTGTACTTTCTTCTGGACAGCGACAAGGCGGGTCGCCCCCAGGGGGTCAGCACGACACTGCCTTTCCTCTGCCAGGTCCCAGAACTGTGCCCACGTCTGCAGGGCAGGCTCTGTGCTCTCGGACTGCCTGTGTGGCAGCAGCATGTCCCTTGAGGGAGAGCTAAGGGTCTTGCCCAAGGTCACCCACATCTAGAGTGGTCAGGGCCTGGGATTTAGCTCAGTGGCACCGTGCCTGCCTTGCAAACATAAGGTCCTGAGTTCAATCCCCGGTACTAAAAAAAAAAAGAAAACAAACCCAGAGCAGTCAGCATCCACAGGGCACGTGAGAGCCCCGCCCTCGACCCTGACCTGTCCCGCCCTTGCCCAGGATCGCCAAGCTGTGAGTGTGATCACCAAGGACTGGGCTTGGGAGCTCACTGTCCCTAACCTCAGGTCTCTGAGGTTCTAGTCGCTGCAGACCAGAGGCTGTGACCCAGGCCTGGGCACTCCGCAAGCCCATCTCTCTGCCGCCCGGGGCTCTGCAGAGCCCATGCACCTGAGGCTGCTCTTGGTGCCCACCCTGCCGAGCTTGCTGGGACGCCAAGTGCCCAGTGTCCTCCGGGTGTCCTTGGACTCCTGGCTCTGCTTGGGGCAGCTCCCACCACACACGTCCACACACATGAGGTATCCAGTCCCTGCTTTGCAAAAGCCATCACCTGGGCAGGTGCCAGCTCTGCATGATGCCCCGTGTCGGGCCTGGAGCCCCCGCAACAGAGACTCCCTGTGTGTCATGGGCGTCTGGAAGCCCCGCGAAGCCCTGCTCATGCCTTGCCCAGTGGAGGCCCAGCTCCTCTGTCAGCCCCCGAGGACAGCCATACAGTACCCTGGGCCCTCGCCCCAGCACTCACCTGACAGCGACCGCTGGCTGGGCCCAGGCTGGCTGAGCGTTACTGCCCCTCTGCCTGCAGCAGACCACCACACGCCTGGGCAAGTTGGCAATCCAGTCACCAGCAACAGGGAGCTCTGGCTGGACCACACGCCAGACCCTCCTGCCTCAGCGAGCCGCTACTCATGGAGGAAAGCTTTCTTTGTCCCCATTCAACAGATCAGCAGACTGAGGCTTCAAGAACCCAAGACCCTCAGGGGGTCATGGTAGCTTCATCGTGACCCCCGAACTCCCAGCCCTGCAGCACAAACTCCTCCCACCCTGCACCAGGCTCCCCTGCGACAGGACTCTGGGGCTCCTCCCTGCAAGAGCCGAGTCTCCACCCCTCATCCAGATCCAGCCATGGGCAAGGGTAGGTGTGAGCCAAGTAGGGAAAGCTCCAGGCACCCTGTGTTGGAAACTCTGCCGGGGGTGCACCAGGTGTGGCTGGAAGTGAGAGGCACAAGGCCAGGTCACTCCCCTCAGCTCGCTGAGGATGCTGTTGCCTGCCGGCAGCAGGGTACAAATGTTACCCAGTCCAGCCAAAGCCAAGGAACTGCTCACAGCCCTCTGGCCCACCAACATCACCATGTTAGCCACCAACTTTGGGGCTTGTTGTTATGCAGCAGTGGCTGGCTGATACAGCATCTCATAAACATAACAGAGAAATAGCCCAGTCTCTCCTGAAACAGAGGAGGAGTTACTCAGCCACAAGGAGGCACAGTGTGGCACCAGACTGTGCACACATGGTGTCTTCCTCTCCCACTTAGCGGGACAGGATGAAGGACCAGGGCTTGGCACACCAGCCATTCAGTCCTCACAGGAGCCTCGTGGCAGAAGCCTTGCAGCTCTGGTCATCCTTGTGTGGCAGACAAGGGAACCGAAGCCCCGAAAGGACAGGTGACCTGCTCAGGCCCTGGCCATGCTTTGTGGAGCCCCAACTCAGAGCCAGGCCCCCACAGCCACATCGGGAAGTCATACTGGGGACAAAACACATGCATGCTCCAAGCAGACGGAGCATGTGGCTCAGATGTGGCACTCCCAGGCCCAGCTGGCTTCAGCTAGGCAGCTGCTGAACAGACTTAAGTCACCCAGCACCGCACACACTTGCTTGCTTGGTTCTGTGCTACCAGCACATTCACTGTGCTCGACTTGGGGCCCTGGAGGTGTTGATACGTTACCCTAGGGCCCCATCACCGTCACCCTCCTCACCACTGTCACCACCACCTTCCCCGCCTCGGCCTCCGCACGCTGCGGTGACGATGGCCTCCCGCTGGCTCTGTGCCGGGTGTGTTCCTCAGCCCTCTGCTTTACTGCTTCTCTTCAATCACCTCTCAAGGCGGTTTCTGTATGTCAGCTACAGTTTCCAAGGGGAAAACCGGGGTGTCAAGAGAAGATGCAACTTGGCCCAAGTCACAAAGCCGGCAGACACAGGGCCACCTCCCTCCCTGGTACTGTCACACCCTGCACAAGGGGGGGGGGGGGGCTAGAGCTCTGAGGGTAAGAGGACAGTGAGGGCACAGGAGAAAGAGGGGGACAGGTGCCTGGGCTGCCTGGGGGGGTGGACAGGAAGGGCCTGCACGGGAGCCCTGGGCTCCTGGCCCCAACTGGAACATGAAGCCACTGCTGCCCCCTCTCTGTGGCCCATGTGGACCTTCCTCCCTGGGCCGGTGTCCTCACCTGTGACATGGAAACCCAGGCCAGCTGTCCCCGAGCCTCTGGAGCTGGCATTCCTGGTCCCCAGGGCCATCACCATGTGGCACTGTCTCCGCAGGGGCAGACAGAGTGTGTGTCGAGCAGGCTTTAAGAGCGAACAGGCTTCCCGTGCGAGGAACACGCCTGATGTGCGGCGAGGAATGAGGGTGGGTGGGGACCATTGCGGACGCGGGGAGCACTGGTGGCGTGGGGCATTCTCCGAGGCCAGGTACACGGATGTGAGGAAGCCCTCAGCCTGTAGAGGACCCAGTAGGCTGTGTGCCTCCACTCACATCTGCAAGGCTTCCAGGAGGAAGTGACTTCCAAGGGGGTCTTGGACGATGCATAGGAGTTTGCTAGGATGGCAAGGTTTGCAGGAAGGAGAAATGTCAAATGTAGCATTGGTGAGGTGCAGGAGATTGAGGAGCATTTATGACAACGTGCGGCAGCTCGGTGTAGCCTGAGCTGGAGGGAAGGTGGGGCAGGGGAGGGAGGGTTGCTGGGACCAAATCAAGGAGCAGTTAGGTCCTTGGTGGAGGTGCCTGGCCCTCCCCACTGCCTTCTCTGTGGGCTCCTTCTCTGCCCATGTGAGTGGCGTATGCATCGGGCACTGCGGTGGGCACAGTGCCCTCTGTCCCCTGCTCCCGCCGGGATGCTGACCACAGCCAGGGTCCGAGGCTGTGTTGGCAGGCAGTCTCTTCCCTCTGAGGCGCGTGGAGGGGGCTCCACACGCGAGCCGAGCTGAGTGGAATCCCCACAGAGGCAGCAGGTGGCAGGGCAGGAGTGCTGGCTTGAGTGCCAGGAGGAGAGGCTGTGGGGAGGGGAGGGAGGCTGGGGACTCTGCCACATTCCTCCACGAAGAATGCTGGGCTGCCCGGGGGCCAGGTCTGGGCAGGAGCCCGGCACACTGCGGCCATTCACGGCAGGCGGCCCAGGAGGCGCAGAGGGAGCGCCCTGTTCACCAGCAAGCGCCTACAAGGGCTGGCTGTCTGCGCCCACCCTCACAGCCCCAGCAGTCGAAACCGCACGTCCCGCGGCTGTGCGGGGCCTTGGTCGCGGGCCAGGGTCAGGGACTGGGCGGGGCAGGGCCGGTCCGGTCCAGAGCTCCGCCGGAGACTGAGACGCACTGACAGGAAGGGCAGGGCCAGCGGCCATCTGGGCAGAGGACACCCGGCGCCCTCTGCCCGCCGCCTCGGCCTCGGCCTCGGTGTGGGGACGCCTGCAGGGGCGGGGACAGAGGCTGGTGGCGGAGCCCACCGTCCCCTCCCCCGCTGGCCCGGGCACCACCGCTCTGCACCCATGAAAGGCCCCGTTCACGGCCGCCCGGCTTGGGTTACGGTGCCTCCACTGTTTTCCTTTCATTAGAAGGAGCCAGCCCACAGGTCCTTCAGCCGAGTCCAGGAGCAGCTGGCCGGGGAGGGCAGAGTCACAGCCACCGGGCGACCACTGCAGCCAGGGAAACTGAGGCCCCATGGCCACAGGCAGCAGAGCTGGGTTGGGGCCGGGGTTCAGCAGGGACCCATCCTGGGCAGGGACCTGAAGGCCAGCCCACAGAGGCCCCGCGGGGAGCACAGGGCTTCCTGGAAGAGGAAGGGTGGCCAAGGAGCCCACAGCCAGAGACAAGGCCAGCAGTCCTGCAGCCCAGGGCCCGGTCTGGGCACAGGCTGAGCCTGCAGGGCCTTGCAAGACAGGATACCCACATCCCCCATGAGGCACAGGAAGGCCCCTCCCAACCCTCTCTACTCACAGATAGAGCTGCTTGCAAGAGGGGCAGGAACTCTCTCCCTCGGGGTGGCTGAGTCACAGGCCAGCGGCACGGCCACCGTCTGTCTGGAAAGAACCCTTGGACAGCTCAGGGCCCCTGCCACTCACTCCCCCCTCCCTGCTCCTCCTCCTCTCTCCCTGCTCCCATCTACCGGGCCCCGGCAAGCCCCCTCCAGTCCCACCCTGGCCCCTTGGAGGCCAGTGTGCGGTGCATTTTACAGTTTCCTTTCTGTGCTGTAGAGCCTTATTTTGTTTTCTGATGCCAAGAAAGAAAGGCCTTTTGGCCCCAGGCTGGCCGGATGCCTGAGGGGCAGCAGGGACCGGGCCGAGAGGGCCTGAGTCTCTGACCACAGCCTCTCTGAGGACCCCAGGCCAGCACTGCCTCCACCCCAGGGCATCCTGACTGCAGCCTCAGGGAGCGTGAGCAGAGTGGGCATGGGCTCAGCAGAGGTCACCAGCAGGCAGGAGCAGAGGAGGGCATCGCTGGGACCGCCAGCATCCCCTCTGCAGCCAGACCCGAGCCTGCACTGATCCGTGGCCTCTCTGAGAACCACCATGCTCCTCCCAGAGCCCAGAAGCCACGTCCAGGGCTCATGGATGCACAGCCAGGAGCAGCCCCCCATCCTGGCGACCCTGCCATCCGCCTAGGGAGAGGGTGATCACATCACAGCTGCCACACAGTGCCCCATCACCCAGCCCCACCCGAGTGCTGAGCCCAGACCCCTGCCCTGGCCACAGGCTGCAGTGCTGTCCTCATTGGCTGCACAGGGTCTCCCACATCGTGGGCTCCTTCACCTCTGGCCTCAGTTTCCCTCTCTGCAAAGTGAGGTGGAGAGCGCATGGGGGCCGAGCCCTTGGACACTGGAGCCACCAGGAGGCCACATCTGGGCCAGGATGGTCTGCGGGGTCTCTTCACTGCCAACACAGCAAGGGGTCCTGACCACCTGCGTCTGCTCGCAGGCCAGTGGTCACACCTGAGCCACGTGTGATGCCACGGCCCTGGAATCTGCTGAGGCTTCTGCTCCGCTGCCCTGCTCTGGCCTGGACAGTGCGGTTTCATTTTGACATCAGACAGAAGTCAGGGCAATGACTCAGGCAGGCCGCCCCACACACTCCCCTCACCCGGGGCCAGGAAGCCTCTGGGGGCTCCCTGGACAGTGGGGGCCAGCAGAGGGGCAGAGAGCCGGGCTTGGCCTGGACCTAGGGAAGTTGACTCCGAGGCTCTGGCTGGACCTGGGACCCATGCCTGACTCTGCCCCACTAGGCCCTACACCCACACCCACGCTCCCCAGGGCGAGGTGGAAACATCTCCCCTGTCTGAGCTCTGGCATTCTGGGGACCAAGAAGCGAGGCACATCCGGGGCTGCCATGGGGCCCTCACCACCCAGGACAGTGATGACTCCGGGCCTCGCGCTCGAGGCCCAGCACATGGGCCACAGGTTCTCTGCCAGGGGCCTGTCCTGTGTGTCCTGAGAGGTCAGTGGAGTCCCCTCTCTCCACCAGATGCCAGGTGCACCTCCAGCGGCGGCCAACATTTCTTCAGGTACCACGAGAGGTGGGGAGCTGGGGGCCGATCCGGGGCTGGAGGGTGAGTGCCCAGGCGCAGCAAGGGCCTGGGGCTGGGCGGGTCTCACCTAGGCCCACAGGCAGGCTGGGCGTGAGGAAGGGCATCACTGATGCTTCAAGGTCACATGCACAAACACTTGCAAAAGCACGCACACATGTGTGCACACACGCACGTGCAACACAGCAGTGCGACTGAAACCTCGGGCTTCCTGAGAAGCAAGTGGAGGCCCAGCGGGAAGGATAAGAAAGACGGCATCGTCCGGAGTCTCCACCAGGGCCTGCGAACCCCTGGCTCGGGACACCAGGAGCCTGAGGTGCAGTCAACCAAGGGCTTTGTTTCCATGGAGAGGGACAGCAGGACCCAGGGATCGGGCTGCAGTCGGGACGCCAAGTCACCTTTCCCACGACTGGCAGGGAGGCTCCCCACGAGCCACACAGGCCCTGCCTGTCTGCGGCAGCAGATCCAGTCATGCAGAGTGGTCCACAAGAGCCCTAGGCTGGGACGGGGCCTGGAGAGCCTTGCATCTTTGCAGGGAGCCCTGGGCCTGGCACCTGGTTTACGTGATAAAGGGGTCCCCAGGGGGTGGAACTGAACCGAGGCAAGTGCCTGCTGCTCTGAAAGGACCCTTTCTAGAAGGGCTCCCACCCATATCTCCCTCTCAGGAACCCCTGGCCCAGGCCCGGGTCTGCCAGGAGTCACAGGGCGAGGGTTCGCCTGCTGCAGTGTCTGCCAAGCCCAGCGCCAGGCATGTGAGCCCCACTTTGGAGGAATTGTCCTGGGTACCACCTGCGCTTCTTTGGGGTGCCAGCTGGAGACCTCAGTAGGGTTCCCTGAGCCAAACCCAAGTATGTGTGGCCCCTGGCCTGGGGAGCAGAGGGCTGGGGGCCGGGACTGAGGATGATGGGAAGCGCCGGCCCGCAGCCCCGGCCGAAGGCACAGAGCTGGCTGCAGCAGCCTCTCCTCGACGCTTGCTGCCGGCTGGGGTGGTCCCATGGGGACCCCGGGCGAGGGTGGGGCCCAAGGAGCGACACCTAGGAAAAGCGGCACTAAAAATAGCCGGGGAGGGGTGTAACCCAAGCTGCGGGCTCAGCGACCCACGGTCCGCCCTGCGTCCGCCCGCAGCCCAGCCGGCCGAGAGGACTTGGCGGCAGCCCCGGCAGCCCGCGGACCTGGGCCGGGTGGAGGCGGCTCCTCTCCTTCCACCCCGCCCCAGGCGCGGCGCGGCGGAGGCAGCAGCAGCGGAGGCGGCTCGGTGCCCAGCGGGCGGGCAGCCGGACGGCCCGGCCCGCAGGGATGAGCGCTGCGTCCCGGACCCGGTGCGGCACGACACAGGCGGGGGAGCCGCGCGGGTCGGAGCGGGAGGTGAGTGCGGCGGCGCGGGGCAGCTGGCAGGCAGGGGCCCCGGTGTGACTCCCGCCCTGCCGCAGCAGCTGCCGGGCTCCGGCCAGGCCCAGGTGCGGAGCGAGTGCAGCCGGGAGCAGGGCCGGAGCGGCTGGGCGCGGCAGCAGCCGCTCATTCATTGCGCCCGGAGTCTGTCCCCGGCGCTCAGACAGGCCCTGCAGTGGGAGGGGCGGGTCTCTGGGGACCGGGCTCCAGGCTGCTGGGTCCTGCCCGGAGGGGACAGTGGCATCCCCACCCAGCCCTGTGCCTTCTGCCGGCCGAGGCGCCCCCGGAGCTGGGCTAGAGGGACTGCGGACTGCGGGGAGACTGCGCCCCGCGTGGCCATGGTGGGAAGGGAAGGCTGGGGCCGCTGGGTCTTCCCCAGGCCGCCAGACCCTCCCCTGCACCGCGACCTGGGCACGGGGCCCTGCCCCGGGGCGCCGGGCGAGAGGGGCAGCCGGCTGCGGTGGTGCTGGGCTCAGGCTGAGGCCAGGAGCTCCTTCCCCGCCCGCGGCGGGGCGTCCCCAGTAGGAGCCCTGCCACGTGTTAAGCGCTCCCCCCACCGCCGCTGCTGAGGTTTAAAGGAGACAGTGCCGCCGCCACGCTGCTCAGGGCCCCTTTCCCACCCGCCGAGATGCCCTGGGGTCGGCTCCGCCCCCAGAGGACCAGGGTGCACAAGGCCGTGCTGTGCCCCACGCCATCCCCAGGCCCCCACACAGCCCCAGCTCCGGCAAAGAGCAAGAGCCCCCGGGGTGCGGCCCTGTGCAGGGCGTTTGAAGAAGGGCAGGCCCAGAAGGTGGCCAGTGGAAGACGCGCCTTGTGCCCAGCCGCAGTCTGGGCCACTGTGGAGCTTGTCACCGCTGGCCTTTGCCCTGTGCAGGAAGGAGGAGCATCTTAAGGGAAGCCAGGCCCCTGCAGCACCTCAGCCTGGAAGGCAAAGGAAAGAAATGTGTGCTCAGCTCTGGGAGGGGAGGGACTGGCACACCTCAGGGTTTCAGGGGCAGAGGAGATGGAGAGGTCGTGAACTCCAGCCCCTCATCAGTGCTTCCAGCAGATCCTGCCTGCAGGTTGCTCCCTGCTTGACAGGGAGCTAGTTCCATACCACATTCCCGTGGTGAAGGAGAACCTGCTGAGAGGTTATGTGACAGTCAGGCCAGGCTGAGCCCCAGGCCTTCTACCTGCAGCACTGGTCTCTTCTGCCCTGAGGCCACACGGTGGCCTGGGAGATTTAGTGGCCAGGTCTTGGCCTCTTCTGACAAGGCTCTTCCTGCACAGGAGGAAGCTGGTGGCCTCTGCCCGCCACTGCTGTTGGGAGTGGGGCTGCCACTGCTGTCCCTGAGCCCCTCACCTCGCGGTGCCACCAGCAGGCCCTGCCCCGGAGCTCAGGCTCAGCGCCAGGCCCCATGTGGCCCATGCTTCCCCCTGACTCCCATGGCGTGGGTTGCAGCGTGCAAGGCCTGGCGTCCAGGCTGCGAAACTGATTTGCACTGTGTGTCCCTGGCAAGTCACCAAACCTCTCTGGGGCTCAGCCTTCCCACAGGGCGTGGGGAGGCCGCAGGACGCATGCGTGTGTGACAGCTGACCCACAGCTGAGGAGGGCAGAGGGGCTGGCTGGGAGCTGACCCGGGACACTGCCGCCTGTCCCTGTGTCCTGGAGCCTCTGAGCCTGCTCTGCTCAGCCGTCCGCGCCCTCTCCGGCTGGGTCTAGCAGTGCTGTTTCCCTCCCCCTGCCCAAGCCGGACCCGGGAGGCCAACTCCTGCCTCCCCGGAGCGGCCAGCAAGGCGAGGGGTGCGATGGCCAGGATGGGCCTCTGGCTTCTCCCTTCCTGGTTTGTCCTCTCCACTTGCCATGGTGGCCTGGGCTGGAGTGGCAGCGGCCACCCTCGGGGACTGACTGACCGCTATGTCCCATGAGTTCGGCTAGGAACCTGCCATGTCCCTGGGTAGAAGGAAAGTGGACCAGGACAGTTGAGCAGGTTGTTCACTGCTCACAGGCACCCAGCCAGTCCGCTGCTCAGCAGACCTCAGACCTGCACATGCTGCAGGCTGTCACCGAGGAAACACCTTGTCCTGCACCCCCAGAGGAGCCCAGAGCAGCAGCGTTGGCCCAGTTAAAGTGTGTATGCCGTGTCCAGACCCCCAAGAACCGTCCATGCCACCTAGCCCATATGCATGCTGGATGCTGTTCCCGGAGGCTGGAGGCCAGGTGCTGTGGCCGGCCACCCCTCCCCGTTCCCTTGGGCCGAGGTCACTCAGCCCCCCACCCCGTGTGGGGCAGGGGTGGAGTGGTCGGGGCTGTGGGCAGCACTGCATCCACTCCAGATGTCCCCAAGGCCTCTGCCCTGCACTTTGCTGCTCACCCTGAGCCCCAGCACCCCGAAAGTGAGGTGGGTGGTGACCAGGGCAGGGACTGGAGCCGTGGGCAGCTAGGGCCCAAGGGGGGAGTGTGAGCCAGGGGCACAGAGCCCTGAGCCACGGCCTCCCACCCACCCCACCGCATCCCACACAGCCAGGGAGGCTGAGCTTGTGAATGAGTAGCCACACGGCCACCTGGGAATGCAACGAGGGATGGGGGCCCCCTTCCCCCTGCAGCCCCCCAGGCCGGGGACACCCCATGCCCCAACCGCCCCTCACAGTGCCGTCCAGTCTCTGGCCACCCCGGGCAGGGTCCCAGCCAGCAGCAGACAGAGTCCACATTCATGAGGCCACCGAGGCCTGGCTGGCAGGGCACAGCCACGTGGCCTTGGGGGATGTCCCATCTCCGTGTACACAGGGCTGATGTGGGCCTGGAGGGGGCCACGGGAACCCCAGCAGGGGAGGTGCTGGAGTGTGGACCTGGGCACAGGGGGACCCTGGCAGCTGGGGCCAGGCTACTGCCTGTCCCAGAGGGAGGCCCGGTCTGCAGCCAGGTGCAGTGAACAAGAGGGTGTGTGTGTGTGCATCACCTCTCTGTGACACGTCGCGTCCGGCACAGCCGACTGCGGGAGCGCAGAGCTGTAGGTTTGCAGATTCACACTCATGGAGCCATCACCACCATCCAGTTCTAGAACATTCCTCTCACCATCCTGGGCCCTGGCGTGGAAGGATCGTATGACCCGTGTCGCGGTGTGCACTGGGCTAATTCCTGGTAACGCTGGACGAGGCGCAGGGGGAAGCCAGCACCGAGCTGTGAATCTGTCCGTCCTCGGGACGTCCACTAGCTCCCACCAGGCTGGTGTGTGGGCTGTGGCCTGCTGTATCAGTCTGTGTGTCGCATGTCCTCCCCTCAGTGGGTCCCTGTGCTTCCCTCGGGGTGTCACTGGGGATGTGGAGCTGCTGCACCATGTACACCATTCCCAGGATGGGACTGGCGGGAGCCACATGCTGGGAACAGGGCCAGGAGTCCAACTCTGCCCGAAAGGGGAAACTGAGGCAGAATGTGGTCACCGCTGAGGCTGGGTCTTTAGGAAGGTCCCACGTGCCAGCAGCTCCATCCTGCCACCTGCCCTCCCACCTTCTCCTGAGAAGCCACACCACCACCTGCTAAGCACGCCAGGATGTGTGCAGAGTCTCCTCTGGTGCCTCCAGAACCTGGCCTGTCCCCGGTCACTGTTCATCAGAGGACCCAAAATATCCACCCCTGCAGGGGCCACAGGGCACTGGCTCTGGAACGACATCGAGTCCAGCAGGCCCGGGCTGCCCCTGTGCTCTGCAGTCAGGGAGGAGCTGCAGGAGCCCGCAGGGGCCCAGACCCTCATGTGGCTCCCAGCCCAGGTTCAGGGTGCACAGCTGGGGGGCAGAACCGACAGGGCCTGAGAGGCCGCCCAGCAGCCAGTAGTTGGCAGCTCAGGGACCCACCCAGGGGCTCCCTTCCCCACCGGGATGGGAGGTGGTCACTGCACCCATGACCCCTGGCTTGGCCAACAGGTGTCCTCGCCCCTGGCTGACTCCTGACTGTGCCCTCCACGCGGAGTGGGAAGAAGGGCTCCCTTGGCCTCGGCACCACGGTTAGGCTTTATGCTCCAGCTGCGGGCCCTGTGCCACTGGAGCGTGGGAGGCACCAGGACAGGAAGCCACTGGTCCATGGCCCCTGGAGCTCCACCTACAGGGAAGCACTTGGGGAAACTGAGGCTCGCAAGGCAAACCACTACTGGATGGAGGCTGCGGTGCGGTAGCCGAGCCCAGGCCAGGCCCTCCTTGGGGCACACGGCAGCTCTCGCCTGGCCAAGGCCACTTTCACACTGTGCTCCGTGTGCCTGGGGACGCGGCACAGCCTTGGAGACTAATTACGGCCCAGGCTGGCCATAAACGCAGCCCGGATGTCCAGGAAAAGTAGGTGCCCTGGGCTGGCGGCCACAAGGCTCTCGGATAACAATGGGATGCGCAGCCACGCTGACCGGGCCTGTCCCAGTGACCACCACACGGAGCAGGGCTCCGGCTGCCTCCTTTCCGCTGGATGGGAAAGCACAGGGCCACGCCTGGGCATATTTATAGCCCAGGCACGGCTGCCAGCCCGGGTGCCCGCAAGGTCAGCTTCCTGCCAGGTCCTGTGGCCAGATGTTTACTGAGATTGCAGGGCCGGCTTGCCTATCCACACACGCCCGCCTCACCCTGTCCATGCTGCAGGGCCTGGTGGGGCTCCTAGACTCGGAGGTGACAGTCTCAGCCCTCAGCAGGCGTCAGCACAGGAACCTGAGACACAGGATCCGTGTGCAAAGGGCAGATTTAAAAAGGAGCCATGGAGGTCCAGGGAGGGGACTTGTGCTGCTTCTCAGAAAAAGGCAGGACCATGTTGGAGGCGGGCTTTGAGGGATGAGTAGGAGCCTGCCAAGCATTTGAAGGCAAGACAAATAGCACACACAATGGGACGGTAGTGAGCACAAACAGGCATGCTTGGGGCAGGTGCTGCTCAGGCGCCTAAAACGCATCTTGGGGAGGAAGCAAGAAGGGCTCAGGAGGCTCTGCCTGCACAATGGGTGACACCCAGGCATGGTCCTGACCCC